ACCATATATACTTTCCACCATATCTCTCTTAAATCAGTTATACATCATTTAACCAGGTAGTTAAAATCTATCCCTGACCTTTTGGAATATATTGATTGTTCTTCATTCGAACTTTAAGACCGTAGCCTAAACAGTCATCAAGTTTACCCATAGGTGAATATGGCACACCTTCGATAATCGTTTGATTTGAAAGACAAGTACCAGCCCCATTAGGAAATGCAGAAGTGATGGCTACGAATACTAAAAAGAGAGCATAAAGTAATAAATGCATAATAGATGTTTTGGATTTTTTTTTTCTATGTTAAAAAATGAAGATAAGCTATCAACCTGCGATGGCTTATGAAAATTGTAAGATCTTTAAGACGGGAAGAAAATGAGATTTATCCTAAATTCAAACTGAGGGCATTTTTTTCGTTATTTATTTGTAAAAATTCATTATTATCATATACGGGCTAAGCCTTTATGGATTTTACAGCGTAACATTAAAAAGCAATTTCATTAAAATGAAACATCAATGCCATCCTTATACCATACAAGTCTTTTTATGTACTACAGTCAGACCTCCTTAAATAAAACTTACTGGGGCCAAACTTCATATGGGCGAAAATTTTTGATGAGAACGTTGTGATTATTAAAATCGATATACGTAATGATTCATTAATGATTCATTAATGATTTATAAATAATTTATACGTAAATATTATGCGGCTTCATTATTAATTTCATAAGAAGTTTACAGCTAAGAAAAACAATTGAATAATTAAATACGATGGTGATTTAAATTATTATGTAGTTTCATAAACAGTTTCGTAAGCGATTCATAAGCGGATTATAGCTAAGGCAAATAATTGACCAAACAAATACAATTGTATAATTCAATTTTACAGGAGATCATGCTATTCAATTCTATTCTACCTGAGATCATGCAATATTATATAAATGGTTGGATTAAATTTTATGAAATATCATCAATAATTTTTAATTGTCACCAAAATTAAAAAAATTCGCCTATATGTTTAAGTACATGCATTTAAAGAATAATAGGAAAACTTGCATTTATGGAGGTCATAAATATATTTAAGCCAAAGCTTAAGATTGCATTTCTGCATTCAGAGAGATGTTGCATTTAAGGAGTTCCATTTATGAGGTCTAACTATACAAAATAATTATCGTTATCTATTAAATAATAAATATGCAATACTACTCACTTCACCAACAATTATTTCACCAACGTTCATTTAATCGACATTGCATAGGGTTAGGGTTAGCGTTTTATTAGCTGCAGGCACATACATTTAGTAAAATTTTACTTGGCATGATGTCGGTTAAGTGAGCTGTCAGTGAAATGATTGTCGGTGAAGTAAGGCGTATCCATAAATATGATTATATTATTTAATTTTTATACAAAATATAAAATCCCGTCGTTGGTTTTTAACGCAGTTAAATCATTGCTCATTAATGCAGTTAAATTTTTGCTTATATTTGTGGCAAAGTTTTAAATCTTATTTTGGGTTACAGTAGGGAAACAGGAGGAACCGTCGATGTTACACGACTGATTCTTCACCCGGTGTGCAACATATAAAAAAATTATTTTACAATACCAGATAATTCCGCTTGTACATGTTATGATTATACTCCAACACCATTTTTATTATAATAAAATAGTGTTGGATTATAATCATAACATGTATCTGGTATTGTAAAATAATTTTTTATATGTTGCACACCGGGTAAAGAATCAGTCGTGTAACATCGATGGTTCCTCCTGTTTAGGTAGGTTACACAGAAAATAAAATGGCACGATTAATATTAATGCTCTCTCGATCGATCAAACGATCGAAAAAATTTTAAAGAACCCGAAAGATTAATATTAAATGCTATTTGGCTCTTCAGACTTATATACTATATATACCATGTGTCATTTATTAATTCCTATCAATTTGAAATCAATAAATAACGTATTTACGTATGTTGTTTTGGAATCGTATAAGCTTTACCAGTGTACAAAATTTCTGAGTGGTAGTGGTTTTTTTTTTATCTGGAAATTAGAAACCACAGCCAGAAGTAGTATTATCAAACTATTAATCCTTTTACGGTGCTGCACATTGAAAGTTCACTTAACAGACATCAAACAGACATCACATAGGGTTAGGGTTAGCGTTTTATTAGTTGCATGTATCTATTTTTGCTTGGCGTAATGCATGAAAAAATCAGTCCACATTGACAATCTATCGAAAGACAAATTCTCATAAAAACATTTAATAATTTATGATATTTCGTTTACAGTACATTACCTGTTACGTATTAGTCTAGTGATTAAAGAAAATTTGAGAGATATCATCAAATTAAATATCTTTCGCCTTTGCGATCGTTGATATCATTTCATCAGTCGTAAAAAATTCGACGAAAAAAATTTATTGAATATCAAGAAAATGGGCCAACAAACCCAAATAAGAAACTCTTTAATAAGTCTAAAGAGCCAAATAATGTTTAAGATTGGTCTTTCGGCCTTTTAAAATTTTTACGCTATGCTCCTGCTCTTGTTCTGAATAAACGATCCTTCGATTGATCGATCCAGCATTAATAATCATTTATTTTTATTATTATGTGTTATACAAATTTTTATTTCTTGTGTATCATACTTATACATGGGTGCCTAAATTATTTTTGAAAAATTGTATTTTCGGCACACATTTCGGCATTGCTAAATTTTTTATATGAAACCCTTCGAAATAACTATATTATATGATGTATTTTGATGAAAGGTGTTCAAAAAATTTCGGCAATAATTTCGGCAGATATGAAAATTAATTTCGGCACTATATAAGAATAATTTCGGCTGCCTAAATGCCGTAATTACTTTTTTATTAAGATGGGCAATTTAGGCACCCATGTATAATCATACTACATAATTCAAACTATCACAAAATAAGATCAAAAACTGTACCACATATAAGCAATGTTTTAACTGCGTTAAAAAATAAAATAGTTGATTAAATATTGATCGGTTATAGCCAGTTATTTAACCAGTATGACCGACTAGACCCATCCCTAGTCCCTAATATTGGATCAAAAGTATAATAAGCAGCGATAAAAAAATCATTATTTCAAGTATGATAAAAAAAAAAAAGTGTAATTAAAAAAAAAATTATGATCCTCGTGAATTAATATTATATTTTAGTCATTAGTTATTAATATTAGTAGTTTATTACATTAAAGGTTTTCTCAAGAACTTCAATTAATCAATTTTTAATTGACAAATTGAATAAACTAATTAATTGTGTTGTCACTCCGATGAATAAAGTCTGGATTAGTGTTACGAAACCTACTTCCAAAATGATGAAAAACGAAATCTAAGCCCAAAAAGGACGAAAATTGAAACCTGGCGGAACGTTAAAATCTTGCGAAATGTGAAGCCTTGACAAAACTCTATTAAGAAAATTGTGGTTCCGTGATCTTCAAGCCGTGCAGGTTTAAATTGAAACTATACAAACAACAATAAACTTTTTTTTCGGCTCAGAAACGACACTTTTTATGACATATACTAAGCTTCGTGAAAAATAAAGTCATTGGCAGAAGCACGAACTTAATATTAAGTATGCTATTGAGTTTTTAAAATGTGACTTTAATATATTTTATTAATAATATCATATTTATTATTTTTTTTGTGTATTGTTCTAATTGATTATACAATACTAAGCAATAATTCTAGTCAAATTTGTAGATCATTTGGCCAGACTTGAGTAGAAGACTCTGGATTTGGCTAAACGATTTGCAAATTTGATAAGCCATCGCTTTTATCCTCTAATTGAATATGATTTTTAATCTTATACAAAGTGTAAAAAATGTTAACCAGTGTTGGTGGCAAAACCAACAAAATCCACGCCGCCGAATTCGACCCGGAAACGTGATGGAAAATCCCGATCCGAAGTCCCACGAAGTCATGAAGCGCCACGAAGACCTTAGACTTTGGCGCAGTGAAAGACAAACAAACAAACAATCATAAGCCTGAGGAGGCTAAATTATTGTTTGTCGTGAAATGATGGCGTGTTGGGCTTGGGCTTAGATTAGAAAAAAAGTTCGATCTTGTTCTCCCCCGCATGTAATTTTTATTATAAATATGGGCTTGCTTTGGCCTCTAATAAAGGACAGAGAGAGAGAGAGAATGATGACACAGAGAAGGGGAGAGTGAGTTTTATAAAAATCGTATGGGAGTCTTTATGTGTCCCACAATATACCCGATATGCCTTACCTTGCCAAATCATAATCGCCTCTACCCATTGGGTATATCATGGGTTGGTTGTGTTGTTTTGGTGGTGATTGGGTTGTCCGTGTTCCCGCCCTTTTACCACTAACACCAATCAATTTTTAAGTGTAATTATGAAACCATATATACTTTCCACCATATCTCTCTTAAATCAGTTATACATCATTTAACCAGGTAGTTAAAATCTATCCCTGATCTTTTGAATATCAACCATCCTATCGGGATGAATCCAGTTGAAGTTCTTTAATATAGGCGTCAATGTTCTTATTTCTGCTCGTATAGTTTTATAAAGATCACATGCCTGACACTAAGCTTTAGAAATGCTATATTGATTGCAATATACACATTTCCCATTCGAAATAGACTTTTTTATAACAAGTCTCATCAATCATCGACATATATTGTTTGTGGTTGTTTGAGTCAATCCGTAGACATTACTACCATCCCATTAACTCCCATTAACTTTCATATTTCAGCGGATTTTTGAAAGTAAAATAAATGGCTTAAGTTTTTTCTTTTCAATCTCAATTCTCTTGCGTAACAATTTATTTACCACTAACAATTTCAATGTTATATACTGTGAGACCCGAAAACCGAACTACCCCAGTATCGCCACCAAAAAGTTGCAGTCACATGACAATTTTGTGGCGCAAACAAATCATATTTCAAGATCAAGTGTAACGTTACACGATCAGGAAAATTCAAAACAAACGTTCGCTTTGTCAAAAATCGCTTGTTTCTCGAAAAGCAGCAAAAGAAACTACCTTTAGTGCTCTAACAAAAAGTTCTCCTTGAGCGATTTTACTATTAAAGCTCCTCTAACCCTAATCTTAGTACAGACCCTAACCCTAATCTAAACGAACTTTAAAGAATTTTTGATTCTCACGTGACTGCAACTTTTTGGTGGCGATACTGGGGAACAGTGATGGTAAATGACCTGAAATGACCCAAATGACCAAATGACAAATGACTGGTCATTGGGTCATTTCGAGGCTCTAATGACTTAGAAGGTCATTTAACATGCGTTAATTGAAATTCCGATGCCATTTAGCCAATCAGAATTTGCCGCCAAACAAAATTAAAATGATAAAGTATATATTAAATCAAAAATTTTACTGTCAATTAATATTTATATCTTAGTAAAGTGTCCGAAATAATAAATTGCATATATTATGAAATTTTCATGTAAACTGAAGTTTTATTAATTCACTTCCGCACTTTGCATTTATATAATTGACTTGATAAGAGTTTGATTTTAAAATACGTATACATATACGATTATCGATTAGATATGTAATAAAGTTTAACTTTTTATATGAACAATTCGACCAATAAAATTATTTTATATGCAAATGACCTAAATAAATTTAATAACCCAAATGATCTTTGTCATGATTTGGGATTATTTAAATTTCGATCAAACGACTGGATCATTTACCATTCCTGGGTTAGGTCAGGCATATAAATTTTTGGGTCCGAGTATAGCCTAACCTAGCCTATTTCAAACCTATAGACTAAATAACTCTCAAATGACCCCGGTCATTTCTAAATGACCATGATCATTTGGTCACGAGCCATTTCCAAATGACCCAAAATCGAGATGACCGATAATGACCGGTCATTTCGGGGTCATTTGAGGTCATTTGAAAAATTTGCAAATGACCAGGTCATTTACCATCACTGCTGGGGAACGCCGAGTCAACAGACAGTTCTTATGGACATTGCATTTTGACTAACATCAACTAAATCCACCTACACTAACCCTAACCCTAATCCTAATTCTGGCCACTGAACTGTCTGTAGCTTCTGCGACTGGGGAAGACCGAAAACTGTGATCGATCACGTGAAAATGCACGAAATGCAAGAAGTGCAAATACTTACATTTATGATCGAAAAGGGTATTTCGGATACGAAGGGGTAGATAGAAGGTAAAGGGAGGATGTACGTACAAATTAGCCATCCTTAAAAATAATAGGGAAATAATTGTAAACAGTTTTAAATAGTTTTATAGAATATTAAATGTAAAGTTGCATTTGTAAGCGACGGAAATAATCAATATAAATAAAGGCCAAGATGGCCCACGAAGGGATCATGCTTCGTTTGCTTTGTTAAAAATAAACCCCATATTACAAATTATCCATAACACTGCATTAACACTGAACCCAAACCCTACAAACTTCATAAAAATCGTTGTTCGCTCAGATCTTCCCCAGTATCGCCACCAATTTTTTTCGATCACGTGATAGTACAAAAATCGTTAAGTTCATTTAGATTAGGGTTAGGGTCTGTGCTAAGGTTAGGGTTTATGTGTTTTAATAGCAAAATCGCTCAAGAAAAACTTTTTGTTAATGCACAGAAGGTGATTTCTTATGTAAATTTTTGAGAATTTTTGAAAACGAACGTTTGTTTTGGATCTTCCTGATTGTGTTACGTTACACCAAGGCGTGATTTATTATTGGATAATTTCACGTGATCGAAAAAATTTTATTAGTATTTTGGTGGCGATCCAGGGGCTCAGTTCATGATCACGTGACTTACCTACTTGTCTTCGTTGACCCCGAGTAACCAAAAGCCTTAATCACCCACCAGCCAAATCTAACACACCTCTTTCGAAAGGTTACTAAATAGAAATTTGAGATTACTGCGTTGAGGTTGAGAGCTTTAGCGATAAGTTAGAGTTTTTTATATGTGAAATTTCATCCCCGTTATTTTTTATTAGTCCACAAAGGCCGATTTAAACACTAGTTTTTGAGTATTTTCGCATTCTATTCTTTTTTTCTTCTTTCGCGCGTGTTCAGATTCTATGTCGGGCTGAATCAGAATACTCGAAATTTGTGTTCTCTTATTAGCTATTTCCTTCTTAGAAGTTTGTATTACCCGCGCAAATAAGTGGATGCCTTATCCAGTGTTGTACATTTTCATTGTCCAAAGATTTTTGAGTGAAGTTTTTTTGATAACCATCTGATCAAATTTGATGAAAAATTTTTTTTATTTTAATTCTATATACTTGTAGAATTAAAATAAAAAAAATTTATTGAATTTGAACTGGCGTTTATTGTGAAAACTTCATTCAAAAATCTTTGGACAATGAAAATGTACAACACTGGTCCTATCTATGTAAATATTTGATAATAAAATTTCCTTTTTCTCATTTTTATTTTTTTATTTTTTTTGATAATCATTTCTACGTAATTCCTAATTCTAAATCAGGCCAACACTAACTCCAAATCGGGCCCACCTTAACTTTCAGGGAAATGATTTGATTATCGCACTGAATACAGGTAGGTAGAGATACAGATCGAGATCTACAAAAAGCAAACCAGATCAAATTTAAAAAGTTGTGTTTCACAACTTTAATTGCGTTATTTTATTGCTGTAAAAATGCAATTTCAAAAATTCAATTGCGTCATTTTATTGTTAAAAATTTTAAATGTGTTTCAAGTTTTAAATTAATAAAAAAGATGAATGGCAAAAACTTCAAACCAATGGGGGTTTCAAAATTAACAAATGAGTGGCGCATTTCGAAAATAAGTAGGATTTTTAATAATATTTATACTATGTTGAATTATAAAGGGAAAAATAAAATAAGATTCTCTGATTTAATTTTGAAACCCCTTAATAGGAAAATATATAAGTTTTAAGAATTAAATGGGAATGAAATGCGGACGACGGAATAATTAATAATATTAAATCGGTCTCAGAGGTCCGGATTGACTAGGATGCACAAATCTATCCAGAATTGTCGTAATTCAAATAACCTATTTCATCTCAGATCTATGAAACATTATTTGAAATTTGTACCTTTTACATGATTTGTAAAAATGCTGACATTTAAAAATGAAAAAAGGAAATAAAGAATTTAAACATATTAAAGGCTAACCTTTTTTTTTTATATAAACCCAACATAATGAGTCAATGTTAATTCTAGCGATAATCTTTTCCTTTTTTTTATTTTTTTTATATAAAAATTTTAACCAAAATTATTGAGTCAATGTTAATTCTCGCGATAATCTTTTTCTTTTCTTTTTTCTTTTTTTTTTAATAAAATCAACACTATTTACATTTACTTTAATGGCAATTTTTATAACTTAGATCCAATATGAGTGAATGAGTGAATGCGCTAGAAAATTCTACATATGTTCGAAAAAAATTTTGATTAGACATTTGCGTAAATTGCTTAACGTAAGATAAATCCAAACTATGTGGTTTTCGAATTTTCAGAATATTATATACTCTTTCCAGGGATCGTCTAAAGCCAGGTAGTAATTTATATGCATCACGTGATTTTTAATTTACAAATTTGTTAGTAATCAATTTAAAGACTACCTGGCATTAGACGACCTCTCTTTCCAGTTAGTGTCATATTGTTAAAAAAAAAACAAGGTTGTCGTGCTTACGTACGGTATGTACGTACTGTACGTAAATGAATGAAAGGGCGAACTCCGCTATCTCCGTGATACACATTAATTAACCAAATTTTACAACTTGTGAAGAAATTTTGTAAACTAGCAAATAAGGAAATTGGTAAATCCTTAATATTAATATTGATAAGGAATTGTCTTGTCCGATAAGTAAAAGAGGCGCAGTGTTTTGTTAGTAATAAAATTTTATATATAAAGGGAAACATTCCCTGTCAGTATAAAGATGTGATCAAACAAAATAAGCCTCAATTACCCTTCCTTTCAATTTTAATCGTTTACAATTGACTCGTCAGGCGAGCCGGAGTCTCTAATTCAACAAACTTTTAATCACTGATTGTATTGTGAAGGTAAACGCTTATTATAACATCCAAACGCATAGGTATAATTTTAATGTTTAATATCATTCAAGAATATACATTATATATTATGCCAAGCTTGTCATCTAAATTGGTTTTTATTTTATTTTCTTTTAAAAGAAGTATAATTTCAATTCTTGCGCAAATGACAGATTTTCCAGAGTTCGTACATAGGTTGTTGGAACCCATACCTCAGTATGTATTGGGTTGTTTACCAGCTATAGCTATAGTAGGCGCATCACCAACGGATAAATTTACAAGAAAACTTCAATGGGTATTACGATGTCTTGGATGTCCATTTATAGGGATTTTTTATGCTGTCAACGTAGGTGGTAATAAAGAATCACGCTGCCTATTTTGGCTTCCAGTAAATTACTTTATTAATGGCGAAACCAATAGAAGATTGGAATACAGACCTGTCGGATTGTATACTATGAAACCAAAAGAGAATCAAAACATAAATACATACATAAATAGATGCACAGCAAAAGTATCGGTTCTAGAAAGATTATCTCCAGTAATATCATTATACTATATTATAATTGGTGCATTGGCAGGAATATCTAGGACAACTGGATCGCATGTTTGTGAGGACTGGCCATATATACCATTATTATTGTCTTGGACAATTCCTGCACTCTGGAGAAGAATATCTTCGGGAAACTTGGTAGTCAAAGATCCTAAGGTGGAATTTGATAATATAAGAATAACTATGGTTGACGACGCTGATGATACGAGTCAAAAATGGTTTACAGTTTCATTAACTGCCTTTATATCAATAGCTCTTCCTTGGATTACGGTATTTTTAGCTTACTTTACACCTCCAATCGGATACTTTTGTCGAAGCAAATATGTTACAACGATCTGTGCCATATGGTCTTTTAACAGCGCAATAGCATTTTTATGTCATTGGATAGGAGAAAAAGACTTAACTATGCCTAAGATATTTCATGTTTTGTTCTCTATTTGGGGTTTTATTGTAGCAATTTTATTGTTTGTTTTGGGGTTATTTAATAAGAATCCAGAATGGTGGGTAGGTCTATTCGGGTGTTCTTGTGATGTATCAAGTGCAGGATGCCCAGTAAGCCGATGGGGATGTTAACAAGTTTTTATCTCATTTATTTCACAATAATTACTTCCCGACAGGTATTTCGCTGCAGATTTCATTTAATATGATTAAACAAAATCTTATTAAATCGTATATTTATTCTTAGCACGTAGTACATATGCTAGCGATAAAATAAATTAAATAACGTTTAGTGGTATATTATTATAAGGATAGTAACAGATACTTCATTTAAAGTTAAAAAACAATCCTGTAATATCGAAAATCAACAGTCATAGTTTGTGCTTTTTTTTTTTTTTTTTTTTACGGAGCTTTTCTTATTTTTGTTTCTTGTTTTTTTTTTTTTTTTCTTTTTTTATTATTTTTTTTACGGAGCTTTTCTTATTTTTGTTTTTTGTTTTTTTTTTCTTTTCTTTTTTATTATTTTTTTTACGGAACTTTTCTTATTTTTGTTTCTTGTTTTTTTTTCTTTTCTTTTTTTATTAATTCGTATTATTCCGTATATTTTCAAAGTAAATTTAATAAAATTTTTAAAGTTCGTACCTTTATAATGAAGATATTATTTAGTTGAACATGTTTTTTGAAAAACCGAAGCTTTTATTTCTTTTATTATATAAATTACATATTTTTTAGTCTAATAAACAACAGGAGGAAACGTCGATGTTACACGACTGGTTTTACACACGGTGTGAAACACATAAAAAAATTATTTTACAATACTTGATCGGACTTGATCAGTCAGCTAGTACATGTTATGATTATAATCCAACACCATTTTTTTATAATAAAAAATGGTGTTGGATTATAATCATAACATGTACTAGCTGACTGATCAAGTCCGATCAAGTATTGTAAAATAATTTTTTTATGTGTTTCACACCGTGTGTAAAACCAGTCGTGTAACATCAACGTTTCCTCCTGTTCTAATAAACGGCTTTAAATTTTGAGTTTTTTTTTTTTTTGAATCAGCAACAAACTGAATATTTTATCATACCTTCATTTGCAGATCGTTTGCCTATATAAAACTCATCTCCAATAGGCCAAACGATCTGCAAATATGACCAGAATTTTTTTTCGTACTCTAATATTGTACACTGTTAACATATAAAAATATAATTATTTGTCACTTAATTATAAGTTTGATTAAATAATTGATCAAGTAATTGATCAGCTACAGTCGGCTATTAGTCGATAGCTGACCGATGTCACGGCTTGGGGAGAGGCTTATGTTCTTCGTAGCCAATTAGCTTCAAGCCGTGAACATTAGGGGGTTAAAAGAATGTAAGTTTTGTATTGTTAGGAGAGCGATATTATATATTTATTATGATTTTATTAATTAGAGTAAAAGAAAAGCTGTCTTAAAGCTATCCTCTCCTTACACGTAGCGATCCTTTTTATACATTTAGCAATAACAACCCGATTATCAAGTATGAGGTAAGATATACGACTATTTACAAATTTTGTGGCAATGGAAAATCACTGTACAGGAACATAGTAATTGCTACCCGGAAATATAGTCATAATCCGGTAACGATGAAAGAAATATTTTGCCGTAACACCGATAACCGACCGTAGCTGACCAAACTCATCCCTAATTGTGAATGAAAAATTAAATGTGAAAAAATAACCAATATTCTAATTAAGATTGTGTATTTCTAAAATGAATCATTACGAGATATAAGTTAATATATTCAACTATCTGGATAATCCCGCAGTTAATCTATATTGGCTTTTTTTTTTTTTTATTATCCGGATAACCTGGATGATTTTTTTGAACGGATCCAAACACTATTTATATGCATAGAGATTCGTTTTACAACCCATATAAGCTCAGTGTTGAAAATTCGGCAAAATATGCTGTGCAAAATTTTTTTTTATATAGGAATTTTATTTTATTTTTGTGCATCACCATAAAAAAAGTCGATCCGTGTTCTACATTCCATGTTTTTTCCGCATATTCATGGAGCTTCTCATGAAGATTATTCAGCCTATTTAGATTTTGTCGATCATATTGCAGATTCATGGAGTTTTCATTCAAAATATGGGGAAATAATGGCAATATTTGGATAAAAATTTCTTATGGGAGGCATACTACACAGTAATTGTTAATTTTTTGTGCAAAAACAATACATGTACAACGAATTTTAAACACGGTGTAAACCTAATTCCAAATCCACCAATATAAAGTTTGCCATTGTCAATTTTAATACTGTAATATAACAAATGAATCACTATTAAGGATGCTAACTGGTCCTTTAGGATCGGGTCCCAAATGAATCCTTGAAGGATCGGTAAGGGTTCGAAGGGATTGGTCCTTAAATCACGTGAAAACCCAATAACATTTTATAAGACTTAGATCCTGAAATGAATTATTATAACAATACAAATTAATTTGATTGGACGGACTTATCGATAGATTCAATTCAGAATCTGATATAGGATCTAAGTCCTATAAAATGTATTATATTTCATTATGTTTTCATATGATTTAGGATCGGATTCGCAATATAACATCCCTAATCACCGGACTGTAGAAGTTTCGTACTGTATTTTAGTATTGAATATAATGTACTGTACTTAAATTTAGGTGTACTATATTATATATCCGTACAGTACACCTTTTTTATTATATAAAATATAAATGAGTACTGTACTGTATTGAATAAAAAATTCTTAAATAACAATACGTTAACTTTTTTTAATATCGTTACTGAAAGCATTTTAAAATTACCGAGTGTTGCAACACTTAACAATTTTCTCCAACTTAACGAATTAGTAAGTTAAAGGGAAAAACCTGTCCCCGGATTTCAAGTTTGTTACTTAGCAGACATTTTCTACCTAATTTGTGTCCGGTAAATTATAAATCTGAAATCTCGATGACAGGATTTATCTTGGTAGCACTTATATTATTGCATAGATAAATAGAACGATAAATAAATAATAAATACTGTAGAATGATAAATTAATAAATCAATAAGTTTTGCTTTAAATATATAGTTTAGGCACCTTATGTTTGTATTTGCAACATTAATTAAAAAAAAATATCATTATAGTGCCAATATTTTATTTTAATATATGATTTATTAGCATTAGTAAAATAAATATATATATTGATATATTATTGTGCAATTACAGTCGTCCTCCTCTACAGTCACCTCCTATATAATCACACCCTCTTTATAAGCACCATATTTTGGAAAATTATTGGCAATATATTTATTAAAAAAGACTCTGCGTAATCACATTACTATTTAAAATTTTATAATCACATATTTTTATGTAAACAAACTGCGTGATTATGACTAAATTGTTTGTACTATTTTAACAAAAACAGGAGACAAGCTAGCAAGTATCCACAGCTATTTTTTATTTTGTACCCAATCTAATAATAAATATATAATTTATATAATTTAAATTATATATAATAATACAATAATTATATAACATACCTGCTATATTAAGTTTTTTACAATGTTTAGAAAATTCTAAAGTATTCATAATTTCATAAGCTATTTGACTTTTAATTAATGAATATATTTTTTTTTAATTTTTAAAATTCTCACAACCAATAAAGTAAGTAGAGATTATAGTGAATTTCACAATAATTATTATATAGTAATTAATTGAAGGTAATAAAATTAAAAAAGTAAACATTCTTCATAAATAAAAGATCGAAATAACAAGTGATCATGATATATACAAAACGAAGAATAAACTTTCTTTCCATGTAGGAAAATATTCCGGTTATATACGACCAGGGATTAGTGGATCGTTAAATTTTACTAATCAGAACTTCCAAATTCCTCGACTTCTCATATTGCAGTATTGAGTATATGGAAATCCTTTTCCACATCAGTTTGAAAACAGTTGTAAAAATAAAAAGAAATAAATCTTGGAGAATCTGCATATGAAACACAGTAGTCTCATAAATATTTATTAATACTGTATGCTGATATAATATCTGATATTAAAACCTCCATGTGAAAATGATATTTGCAATTGCTTCAATAATTCTCGATGCAAGATGTAGCATTAAGTATCGCAGATACAATTTATTTTGCATTAATAAGATTTTATAAAATCATCTCTCAAAAGCTTTATAAAGCTTAATCCTCTGAAATAAATAAATAAATAAAACTTAAAAAAAAAATAATATTTGTAAAATTCATCAAATTCGATATGAATAGCCTATTTATCTTGACTTTTATACCGGGTATTTCAAAAGTCCCTATACACAGTCCCTATTTTTAAAGTTATCTATATATAAAGGTCATCGTAATCTTTATAAATAAAAAATAGAGTCTGTGTATAGGTATTTAGCCTTTTTCGTTGTTCCACATTCTCTCATGATGAATTAGTTCCCTCCAGACAAATTTATTTTCTTCCGCTCGAACTTAAAAAAGCTGGACCTAATAAATTGATCGTGGATATTAAATGGGATTGAAAAAATGAAATAGAAACCGGTAACATGTTTTTCCTATTTAAAATTTTATTTTACTTAAATAATTTTTTAATGATTTTTTATTTTTTATTTTTTTTTAAAAAAAAAAACAAAACATAGAACCGCTTATATTAAAGCTTAAGTTTTTTTCTAAAGCCGTGCGTGTTGAAACACCTCAAGAGAAGGTAAATCATTCGATCTAAAATAAACTGTTTATCTTTTAACTCCCTTCAATCTTTCTTTGTCTGCATGTCGTAGATCGTTTCTAATAAAGTTTAAGATTAGACATTAAACATCTTATTTATTGGATGCGACCTTACTCGTGATCCGCCACATTTCCTTTTAGGTTAAAACGGAAAAGATTTTCGTCAAAAAATTTTATATTATCTTGGTCTTGATCTTTTTCTTATATATATCATGAGCAGGCAACGTTGCGTTGCGCAGGTCTGATCTGGTCTGATCTGATCTAGAGCATGCCCCCAAAAAATTTTTATCGTATTCGGGTTGTATTTATAAGATTCAATAAGTTAAATCGACTTTTGATTCCATAATTCGATGTATGCATTGCTATGAAACTTTATTTTGAATTTGCATA